AAACCTGACTTGAAAGTGCCTGGCAGAAGTTATCGAGGAAGTTGCGGCAGAGTATATTCTGAGTGACTTTTTGAACTTCCATTTTTCGCGATGTTGGGGATACCACTTACAATATGGAGCTGTGCGACTGAGATGGTGTGGCGATTACGAAGCTTATACATTTGTGTAGGCTATAGTGGGGTATCCATAGGGGTACAACCCAATTTGGGTTAGTACTTGTACTCACTCATTTCATAGTTGATTCATTCTCGTTTCAATCTTCACATGGTATCGAGCAGGTTCCCTTGTGGGAACTGTTCCTAAGGCCCTACTACTGCTTCCGCTGCTACTCGATCTGTCGCACGCCCCGCGGCGTGCGACCGGCGCGCGGTGATTTCTTTCTGGCGCGCGCCCCGAGGCATGCGACCCCGCCTCTCTTGTCGCGGCCCCACCCTTCTCGCGGCCCCGCCCTACGTCGCGGCCCCGCCCTACTTCGCGGCCCCGCCCTACGTCGCGGCCCCGCCCCTTGTCGCGGCCCCGCCACCTCTCGTCGCGGCCCCGCCATCTCTCGTCCCGGCCCCGCCACTCTCGTCGCGGCCCCGCCCTTCGTTGCGGCCCCTGCCGCCCTTCGTCGCGGCCCCGCCGCCCTTCGTCGCGGCCCCTGCCGCCCATCGTCGCGGCCCCTGCCGCCATTCTCCACCGCGGCCCCGCCACCTCCCTTGCGGCCCCGCAGCCCTGCACCGACCCGACCCCGCCTCTGCTGGCCCCGTCGCCTGCCCCTGCGGCCCTGGCTCCACCTCTGCCGGCCCCGGCGCCGCCTCTGCTGGCCCCGTCGCCGCTCCACCCGGCCCCGCCGCCGTCCCCAAGCGGCCCCGCCGTCACCACCGAGCCGCCGGCGCCGCCGAGCTAGTGCCGAGTCACCCGAGCCGCCCGAGCCGCCCGAGCCGCCCGAGCCGCAGCGCCACCTCAGCCGCCCGAGCCCCCGGTCGCCGAGCCGCCAAGCTGCAGTTGCTGCCGAGCAGCCGTACCGCCGAGCCGCCGAGCCGCCCGAGTCGCCCGAGCAGCCAAGCCGCCCGAGTCGCCCAAGCAGCCGAGCCGCCCGAGTCGCCCGAGCCGCAGTTGCTGCAGTGCCGCCGTGCCGCTGAGTCGCCGAGTCGCCCAGTCGTCGAGCCTCCTCTTCCCACCACTGGTGAGCCCTACTTTACTAGCGCGCTGCCTGCTGCTTGCTTGGCTGCCTGCCTTACTGCTGC